CACACACACACACACACACACACACACACACACACACATGCAAATAAGGTAAGTATCACAGGTTATTCCTTTACCCTTAGACTTAATGAACATTTAACCCTTGCAGTGTGAGGGGGGGGAGGGGATGGGGTACTGCAAGAATATAATTATCTGCCATACAGGTCATATAATGTTTTCAATCTGTAGGACAATTTATAGAAGCATATTTATCAAGGATTTGATGGTCATTGTGCTCGATATTCACCCAAAATTCTTCAGTGGATATTCATTCACAGGGTTATTCACAAAAGGGTGAAGAGTTTGGAGAAGACAGGAGAAGTGAACAATCTAGGACAACATAACTGAACTGGAAAGTGAGCTGAATTGGAGAATTTTTCCAAATCAGCTATGCTGTCCTAGATTGTTCACTTCTCCTGCCTTCTCCAAACTCTTCCCCCTTTTGTGAATAACCCCCTCAGTCTTGACTTATATCAAGCCAAATCAATGGCAATTTGCCCACTGAAAATTATATTTCTTGAAATTCGACACACTCAACACCTACTTTTCAGCTGGTACAAGTCTATACTGCAACATTCACCATCTGTAGGAAAAGGGTGAATGGTACTTTCACTGCACAAAGACAGTTTAGAATTGTGAAACATTTTACTTTGTGTTGTATTTCCAGTAATAAAATACCCAGCAGACTTTCCATTATGGCTGCTCTTGGTTTAGTGTCCTAAAACTGTGTTACTTTTGCTGCTAATTTATACCCCATGAAGTGGGTCCCACAATAAAAGTTAGTATTTTTTAGCAGGAGAGACATGCAAGGACAGGAGAGAAATGCAAACACAAAACATTTTCCTGGCTCTTATCGAACATTTCTCATTTTGTTTTACCTGCCAAAGGATTTGTAATTTTGTATAGCCCGGTCCCTAGGTGTATACTGTCCTGCCAGCCAAATAATTAACCAGGTTGGCCACTTGCAGGACTTGAATGGAGTAAAGATGTAGCAAAGCCGTTTTATTCAAGTCCAACATTTCGGTGAGACAACTTAAAAGAAAGGTGGGCTCTGTCCCACAGAAATGTTGGATTATTAATTTTTTTTTTACTTTGTTCAAGTATCTGATTGCCCTACTGACTTACACTATTTCTCAATTGGCAAGAGATGTATATACCAGGCAAGAATCAGTAACAGGAGTACACTGAGTGTATAGTACAACAGTCTAAGGTCAGTAACAGGAGAGCATGCAATAGGAATATGCAGAATTTGGACATTTTCACATACAAATTCTGTAAAAGTCATATGTAAAAGCATGGCGTATGTGTTCAGTGGCAGCACTTTCTTAAGTGATGGTACCCGTTGTGGACCCCATGTAGCTATACCAATAAACAGAAGGCACATTTATGGTTAAGTGTAACCTGCATCTGTAGTCTGAAAGTGCTTCTTCTAAATCAGTCCTAGAAGTCACATTCTGAAACAGGCCAGCAGTTATTGGGCTAGAGGAACAATGCTTGGGCTAGAGGAAGGATGCTTGTACTAAAGGCAGTTTTTCAATAAAATAACCGCATGTAATACCTATTTAATTGTAGCTTTATTTTATGGTTATAAATGTTTAAATGGCACTTTTTCAGTTGGTTAACATTTCTTTTGCATAATTTCCACAGCTCTATAGAGCACGTTTTAGCAGATGGATATGGAACTAACAACCTCCATTCTTATAGTCTTACCTCCACTTTCCTGTTACAGCAGTTACACCCAGTGTCTACATGATTCTGGAGGTTCTCCAGCCATCCAGAAAATTAGGCAGACTCTATAAGACTTGTTGCAAGTTCCAGTGCACATTGTGAGAAGCTCACAGGGTGCAATAAAATTGGGGTAAGCAATTTCCGTACAATAGAAGACCCTGTACGACTGAAGGTAAAGCTGGAGTTCAGCTTTAGGGCATATATAAGCAAAAATGAGTGAAAATACCACACTACCACACACTACCAC